TACCCACCCAACGCACTAGACATCTACAAATATCCATGCCCGAACCCGGATTCGAACCAGGAACCCTCAGCACCACAGTCGAGCTGCCACACTACTGCGCCACACGATATGCGATATTTTTGCCTTTATCTGTGGAAAAATTTCAACTAAATGTATTAATAAATAAGAAAGCTGATATTGTGCAGATACGCACATATTAATCGTCAAAATTTTTCTTGCCTTCGGTGCCTGAGCTATGAGCTACCGAATTCAAAAATGACGAACTAAATATATTGAAAACTTTAGGAGTAAGGCCACGGACGGACGGACGGACCGATAGTCCATGTCTATCGATATAGATATTTATCGTTGCGTCAATAGTTATCGATGATTTTTAAGGATTTTTTTACCCATTGTTAACAAGTGCCACGCCTACTCGAGACCTCTGCGAAAAAATGCTCGATGGAATTTGATGAAGGTGCCTATGAAAAAAGAGCGTGTTAATTGTAATACGCATTAACAAGTACCCGCAGCTTTTAATATGAAGTCAAACCCCTACTGCGGTCAAACTAATTGAATTACAAGACATCCAGACAAAAACTTCTTGTTCCTCAGTCCGGTAATAAATAAACTACAGGATGAAGCTGATTAAATAACCGGATTGAATTTGTTGTTAAAGTAGAATAGAAATTGAATAGGCGTGCGTCACATATTACTTTACATCTTACCTATAGACATTCTAATTGTGAATATTGACCTACCAGATTCACTACGTGGAACTTTTTGATCGTCGATTCACAGCCGATTTTCTCCTCCTACCCATAAAAATTCACATACTGTAAGGATAAGTTCACAAAAAGTTTATAGCTAAAACTGCGAGTTCGGTAATGCAGCTAAACAGGGCATCGGGCGACTGAGCATCCAGCGAACGCCTGGTGCAATTTATTCCGCCGACCCAAACACATTTTATGCTTTGATTGAGGATACATTACAAAATATTAAAAGCAATTTGGGCATTTTTTAATTCACCATTTCTGCGCCCTTTGGAAAGTTATGTACTTATGTATTGTATATATGTATGTATGTTATTTAATAAAAATTTGAGTGACGCTTAGAAAAAGTATAAAGGACTTGACGAGAACTTGAGAGGAAGATATTGAAAATCGCGCAAAACCGTTTCGGGGGTATCGAGGGGGAACCCGAATGACGTTATGAGCGACAACCCCCCACCCCCACCCTAAACCCCCCAGTCCCCCCTTCAAAAATCCAAAATGGCAACCCCATACTTGCGACACATCGTTGGAAAGCTACTACTGAAAAATGCTTTCCAGTGGTACCAATAAAGTCAATATTCATTAATACAATTTAATAATTAACAAAAAAAACTAAATGTTGACATTGAGGGATTTATGGCAAATTGGCCAAGAACTTCAACTTCCTGGAAAGATCTAGAAATAACTGTAGATATGATATTTGCTCGAGAAACAAGTAAGTAATTAAAAGAGATTTGGAAGAACGTGTTTAGGGTTGGTTAAAGTGAACTTAAAACTTGGTTTAAGGGCAGACATAGTACGTTATGGTTGTGTATTGTTATACAAAAGAATTAATGCTGCTATTAGTTTGTAAATACCTCGGTAAATACCCTGTACAGCCCAACAAAGCAATGCTAAATGCTCGGCTAAATGGACTGCTAGAACACGGCAAAAATTACAATATTCCTCAAATACTGCCTGTACACTGAATTCCACAGTGCATAATCCCTTGTATTCAATAAAATATCTTCTCTTTAATCAAACACCCTGTACCGTGATACCTTGTCCATTGTAAGTTAATGTGTTCAATGAGAACTTGTATTATAGACACTGTTTACACATAACAAGCATTTTAACTTGATCTTAAATTTAAATTCATTAAACAACAAACATGAACAATCAACTATGATGGTTAAACTACCTATTTTTAAAGCGAGGACATGAAATTCTAATTAAAGAAAGGTAACATTCAAGTTATATAATCATTAATGGTTAGGTACCTCTCCTGCGGGAGAAACTGGACTATACCATAAACCTTTTTTCATTAAAGAAACACCGCCAAAAACGAAAAACACAGGTTACCTATAACCTACCTACGTTTTGCTATACACTTGCCTAACAAAGTAGATCTATAAATACCCACAGAAATCTTATTTTTTTAGTTCAGTGTAAATACCTTTGGAAGAATTAAGTGGTATGACTTATGCTATTAAAACCACTATAATACAAAATGTATACTACCTACAAATCAAATAAGAAGGTTGAAAACAACCACATCAACTACAGAGAAGAAATGTTTTATGAACCTTAGGATACATACTATAACTAAGAGAGGTTAAATCAGTACCTATTAACCTATTAACAACATGATGTAGATATTAGGAACCAGTGATTAAAATTACTCACCTTTAAATTAGCACTGGTTGCACAATTACTGTTATCAAATCAACAAACATTTAAACATTCATTTAAAACTAGTTTTATCAAACGCACACAAAATTTCTAAAAAACGAAGTCAACAGTACCGCCATCTTTTGCAATCAAGCAGAACTACGATAAGATTATACACAGCGTTTCAATACTATCATGTCAATTATTCTTGACATTTAAATTGACAACATTACAAATTGATGGACAGATAGATGATGAAACTTATTAATATATAATGTTGATCCAAATTTACATGCAATTTATAGTTATATTAGAAGAATCAATATGGTCTTTGTTACAAATAAAAACAGTATAAATTGGATGATTTTAAATAAACATAAACTGACTTTCTTTATTACTGTTTTACATTTTTAAAACACCAACAAACTTGACAAATTAAATTTCAAAAAACTATTTAGCCAATTGAATCTATAAATGCATACCAAAAGCAACTCTACCAACACTTTCCCTTATTCTAAGATTAGAAAAGATGAAACTTACTTATAAACTTGCGTTCTGAAATATGAAGTTTCTATCTTCCGTAGCTTCGACTGTATAACGTGAAATCTCGGTTGTTACTGTTCCCGTAGAAATTTCGCGAAATCTGTTCTTAGTGCTCCCCTAACATCCCTAGACCCCAAGGAACTTACATGCCAAATTTCAACTTTCTCGGCTATGCGTTATCTGTCAGTCACTCAGTCGGTAACGAAATAGTTTGATATATTATAGCATTGCTCATTAAAATCGAACCAAAACAAGAAGAAGAAATCCATTCCTTTCTACAGACACAGATTTCGGTAAGCAACGAAGTTTTGGTGACCATAAACAACGAAATTAGCATAGTTACATCAGTGTTCTTAAATCTAATGAAGAAGTACAGCAACGCCCTGACTTTCAACCTCGCCCTTTAACTCGGTGTAAAACAGTGTCTAAGGATTTTAAATGTGTTGATTGTGATTATGACCAATGTTAAACGCTTCAAACAAGATCTCTTGATACATAAAGTTCGAAGCATTTCAATGTGCCAATTGTAATTATGGGACAAATGACAAAAAGCAACTTCAAACATCTTTTAAAAACATAAAGTTTCGAAGGATCATATAAATGTGCTACTTGTGATTATGGGACAAATGATAAGGGCTACTTCAAAAGACTTCTTTTGAAACATAAAGTTTCTAGGGATCTTTAAATGTGGTCATTAACATAGATATTAATATATCTATGATTATTAGTAAATCAATTGTGCTGCCACATCGTGTCGAATAGTGGTACTATCAAATGGTGCAGTTCTCTATAATATTTTTAAGTTATACCTTAGCGACATCTGCTGCTTTACCGTCATTGTGGTTTATGTAACTTTTTAGAAACGATATCTTTGAGAATGAGGCAATATTGGATTTTAAATGACAGAACTTTCAATATTGAAAGAATAGGAGCAGGTTTACCAAAGAGTAACCATTTACTCTTTGGTCTTACAGCGACTGTACTTTAAAATTAAAATTTATTAACAGTAAACCATTTCTTTTAGATGATTTAGACCTTGGTTTCCCAATTGTTGCAATATACCTTCTACTCCTTTTATATCAAGACAGTGGCGAAAAAACTGCTACGAAGGAAAAAAGGCGCGCCGCGCGTGCGGCCCATAACAATGGAAATGTTAATAAATACCTGATTAGATACCTAAGCAGTGTGTTCATATTATGGTTCTTCCATTAAAAGGAAATGGGATTTTAAATGCCGAGGTAGTGTACCTACATAAATTACCACTTCATCGGTTATTAATTTGTTATGAATCGTTCGCTGAAGTTGTTACCTCTATTTTTCAATTTAGAGTAAAAAGAAAAGGATTCATTGACAATAATTACAATTCTAACAATCTAAATTGTTAAAAAATAGAACATGCTGTTTTTTTATGAATACGCAATAAAAAACCGCAATTACTATTTAAACCTTTAAATTTTATTTTTTTACTGCGGAAACGTGTCATTATTGGCAGTGGTGTAATAAAACAAAACTGACATCGTCTCTTCTGTTTTATGATAAGTCAAGTCGACATAACTGACCAGCGCAAAGGAAGTGATATGTTGACGACTTCCGTCGCGTGTTATGCTATTTCCCACCATCGTTATATTCTCTCCTGTTATTTTTACTCGTAGTGACTGTTAAGTTTGCCAGAATATATATAATGCATAAAATCCGGTTTTACCAATTTTTCTAATTATACCTACTGTAGCGTTATATCAAGGCAGTAGCCAGTAATGAAGATACGCCAGAGCAAATACGACAATGCGCGACGCCGCGCGGCCGTCCCATACGAATTCTCGCCGGAAAAGTTACACTTCAACCATTGAATTTATAACTATCAACGATGCCATTTTAGATAGTGTATGTTTGGTTGCCTAAGTGGCAGTAAGCTTCCGATTAACATTACTTTAGTCGGTGATCGTACTTGCTGTATAACAATAAGCCGTGTCACTAACATACAGACATACCCTATATATACTAAGAATTGTCAGATCCATCTATCGGTAAGAAAGATATTGACCGTGTCATATGATTGCACGTGAACATTGCGGTGTTGGTGCTGCTGCATTTCGTTTGTAGAGGGTTGACTGATTCGGTAATCCAATTTGTGGTATACAAAATGTCTTACCCAGCGACGTTAAATCTTCAATCAGCAACAAAGGAGCATGTTTTGGCAGTCTCAAGAGACTTCATATCACAGCCGAGGCTCGGTATGTATTAAATTTGTTTTTTTATTGGGACATCATTCAAAAATACCTGGCATACCTGGGGCGGGTCGTATCTAATGGTGGAGTTTGATCATATGATCACCCCTTTTCAAATTTTTTTGTTCATTTATGGATTTTATTCTACTTATCATTACTATCAAATACTTCTAATCTGAATCCATTAATTAAGTGTACCATCAGCTGTTAGTTGTAATCATGTGATAAGTCTCATGATAAACCACTCCTATACTGGAACTTTTAGTTTACAAAACCGTTTCTGGAGTAAATGGACCGTTGGTCATTTTGGATGATGTAAAATTTCCAAAATATGCCGAAATTGTGCAGTTGCGTTTGGCCGATGGGACTATACGGTCAGGTCAAGTGTTGGAAGTCAGCGGTTCCAAGGCGGTCGTACAGGTTTTCGAAGGCACCTCCGGTATTGATGCTAAAAATACACTTTGCGAATTTACTGGCGACATTCTGAGAACTCCAGTATCGGAGGATATGTTGGGTCGTGTATTTAACGGCTCTGGAAAGCCAATTGATAAAGGTAATTGTATTTCAGTGGTGGACGGTGTTGATATCTCTCTTTTTAGGACCTCCAATATTGGCGGAAGATTTTTTGGATATCCAAGGGCAGCCCATCAATCCTTGGTCTCGTATCTATCCTGAAGAAATGATCCAGACTGGTATCAGTGCAATCGATGTCATGAACTCGATTGCTAGAGGACAGAAGATTCCTATTTTCTCAGCGGCTGGTTTACCACACAACGAAATTGCTGCGCAAATTTGTCGACAGGCTGGTCTTGTTAAAATTCCTGGAAAATCGGTATTAGATGACCACGAAGATAATTTCGCCATTGTTTTTGCTGCGATGGGTGTAAACATGGAAACTGCCAGGTTTTTCAAACAAGATTTCGAAGAAAATGGTTCGATGGAAAACGTGTGTCTTTTCTTGAATTTGGCCAACGATCCTACTATTGAAAGAATTATTACTCCTCGTTTGGCACTTACTGCCGCCGAGTTTATGGCTTATCAATGTGAGAAGCACGTATTGGTTATTCTAACCGATATGTCGTCCTATGCAGAGGCTTTGCGTGAGGTATCAGCTGCTCGTGAAGAAGTACCTGGTCGTCGTGGTTTCCCAGGTTACATGTACACTGATTTAGCTACAATCTATGAACGTGCTGGACGTGTTGAGGGTAGAAATGGTTCCATTACTCAGATTCCTATTCTTACTATGCCTAACGACGATATTACTCATCCCATTCCTGATTTAACTGGTTACATTACGGAGGGACAAATATACGTAGATCGTCAATTGCACAACAGGCAAATTTATCCCCCAATTAATGTTTTACCTTCTCTCTCACGTTTGATGAAATCTGCTATTGGCGAAGGCATGACCAGAAAGGATCACTCTGATGTTTCTAATCAATTGGTAAGTTCGATAAAATTAAGCGGGCCACTTTTTAACCTACACAATTTTGTAGTACGCTTGCTATGCTATTGGGAAGGACGTTCAGGCCATGAAAGCCGTGGTGGGAGAGGAAGCCCTTACACCAGACGACTTATTATACCTCGAATTTCTCAGTAAATTTGAAAAGAATTTTATTTCTCAAGGCAACTATGAAAATCGTACTGTATTCGAATCGTTAGACGTTGGATGGCAATTGCTACGTATATTCCCGAAGGAAATGTTGAAACGTATACCTGCTTCAATTTTAGCAGAATTCTATCCAAGAGATTCGCGTCATTAGTTTTTAAATAGTAGTGTAAGACATGAGTTGTTTTTCTTTAGAAATTATAATTGGAAAATTATGTCATTTGTAAATTTCTCATTATATTGTTGTTGATATGATAGTTTTAATTATAGCTTTGCCTAGTGTGCATGATATGATAATTATGTGGAGTATTAAGTTTTGTCAATTTCAATTGCACCCGCAGGTGAAAAAACCAGATCAGTGTCATAAATTTGTAAATAGACAGGCCTGATAATTTCTATTTTCAATTTTATTGTCAATTGTATTATAATTTTTAATATTTGCTTCATTGTTATTGTGTCATTAAACAATTGTATAGTATATAATAATTGTATAGACAATACTGTAAAGTAAGTGTTAGATGATATTATATATCCGTACTCACTTCACAGTGTGTTAGACACACTTTTAAACCTTTTTTTTTTGCTTTTAACGGACACATTCCACTAGTGTTACTAAATTTTCAAATATTTATAAGCAATATTTCTTGCTTGATTCAGTATTGTATATTTGTAAATGGTGAATGGAAATCTTATAAATTTTGTTGCAATTGTAGTTGAAATTAATTTTATCTATTTTTAATGTAGTATATATCTGTTAATATACATCTCAATTATACAAATTACAATTTATTCTTATTTTTATACTCCTTATTTCTCTATTGTAAAATAAATCTGCAGCATACAGTTGGAGAACATCTAATATATACATATTTCGTGTCCCATGGTTACACTGAAACAGCTAGACTGATTTTTATGAATTTTTTATATATGTAGTATACAATACGTTTGAGATAAGAGGGCCACTTCAATATCTCTTCTATCCGGCTCAATACGAAAGAGTTGTCAAATAAAATTTTATTATGCATTACGATCCATCTGATTACGTATTCAAACTTCCGGTGTAACCGGAAATCGATGCAACTTTTGTTTTTCAAAAATCAAATGGAATGCCTGTCTTTTTACGATATTTGAAAAGAGCAATCAATTTTCTGTCAAAAAAATGGAGAAACCAGTGATTAGGAAATTTATGAAATCTAGCAAGCCATGTGCTATATCACACAGAAAAGATGTACTATCACCCCGTGTAATGCAAGTCCATCCTGACAACACGGCATGCTAGATTTCATAAATTTTCTAAATCTTTAATCACGAATTTCTCCATTTTTTGTAGGTATATCCACCATATGCATATCTTATGTCTTACATCAAATTGATTGCTCTTTTAAAATAATCGTTAAAAGACATAGGCATTGCATTTGAAAAACAAAAGTTCCATCTATTTCCAGTTATAACGGAAGCGATACCGGAAGTGTGAATATGCGATCAAATAGATCGTAATGTCACATATAAAATTATACTTTTTCGTATTTCGCCTAATAAAAGAGATATTGATGTCAAACGCACTGTATATGAGAATAGATCGTAAAGTACATCTCAAACCACTAGGTGATTATATAGTTCGCTGGTGCGAGATGAGGCGGCGCAGCTACTGAAACCGGGCGTATGCTTCCATCGAAGAAAAGGAGATTTCCTAAAGGTGTCGCTGGAGGAACTAAACAAACCATATCTGATAGAAATTTGTGTGATGTGGTATGCAGTGTTTTTTTTTTTGAAAAATCAATAATGCTTTAGAATTATAAAATTGACCTAGTGCTCTTGTATTTACCATTGCAGTTTGGTGTTTACAGTGTCACAAACATTACATAAGTTAGTTAGTTCGATGATCATTTTTAAAAAATGCATATCAGCTTGCCCAGACTAACATGTCTCAAAATTTACTGCATTTATAAACAGGCACCTAAAAAAAACAAAATTAGAAACACCTTAAATCTATAGTTAAACTTTTCCCAACACTATACTTAAATTAATGGTTGCCGAATAGGTAAAGCCTGCAGCATACGCAGACAGCATTTTAATATATTGCGCAACTTGGAAATGCGAATCAACAATGTTAAGGAATCTTCTCCTTGAAGAAGGCGACGGAGCCCGATGTGATGAGCATGTTGGTTGCTTATGCTGCAGAGTTTACCTATTATATTAGGGGATCATTACTTTTGTCAATCACCCTATACATACCTACCTGAATCATGTTTGTTTGTTATACTTTACAAGTGGTTCTGCCTTTATATTATTAAGTATTTATTTATGCGTTCATGTGAATAAGTGTATTATCAGTGTGATATTATTGCCATGTATGTGTCCATTAACAATATATCTTCGTGGGGGAAGTACCTACCTTTTATACAGTTCCAATTCTTCGCTGTATCATATGTTGCATCCTCATCTTGTGCGGACTGCAGCTCTTGTGTCTTAGCAAAACGTGAAGGAGGTCCTCAAATTAACTTTTCTTCTGTTTCGTATGCGATTTTGGATGTGATGAGATAATCGACTTTAACGAGAGTACTGATTGCATTTGACTTGTACTTAATCGTAGCAGAAGTCGTAGTAGAGCCATGCCATTTTGATGTTTTTTTTATGTGCATGCCATTTAAAACCATTTTATGAGTTATTTATTGTTTGACCTCGATAGATCGTAAATGTGTTTTGATGTCTTTGTGTAGTAAATTGATTTATCGTTCCACTTGTGTAACGCAATACTTGATTTTTATTGTTCGATGTGAAATGTTTGATGTGTACGTATATTGTTGTCTCTTTCGTCTTTCATCTCTTTACGTCGAAAAGTCGGCCATGAGTAGCCTTGTTATATAATGGAAGATAAAAAATTTGGTTAATTGACCAAAGTTCCGTAGTTTTGTGTAGGTACCTACTGACTAAGTTTCCGTTTAGAATATTTTAAAAAAACGGTCCCGATTAAGTTATTTAAAGAATTGCCGATTTACAAAAAAATAAATGTCTTCATATTTCTTGATCTTCAAAATACTTGAGCATAGAATATTTCGACTATAAGATATTTAGACTGAATTATTTGTTATTTTAGAAAATATGCAAGACAGTCCCGTAGCCATTCATTCGGGAGGAGCTGGATTTCCGATTGATCATATTTACGTGCCTTCAGTGATATTTCGGAGGGACGCAATCCCCCTTCAGTCCCCTGCCCTCCTCTGGCTACGTGCTTCTTGATGCAAGAAGTAAGTAGTTTGCGCACGCGAGTAGAGAATAGTATATTGAAAGACAAGTGTTACAATGCGACCTATTGTAATACGACTATCTTGTGGCACGAGTGGCGACGCGAAGCGTAGCCACGAGTGTCCGCAAGATAGGAGTATTACAATAAAGCATTGTAACACGCGTTTTTCATACTATTTTTTCTATTTCGGTGCTTTAATTTAATTTAAAAAATCATTATCAGAAACTATAGGGAACATTAGAACTAACATGTTTTATGTTGGGAACACTTTTTATGCCGTTAAGTTTTAGGTTGGCAGTGTAGTAAAACTGACATTTTGAAGTTCAAACATGCAAGTACCCAACGAAGTACCTACTTGTACTAACTAGTAACTGCCAACTTAAGAGATGAGTTACCAAAAAAAAAACGACTATAATCACTGTCTTTGTACAACTGTTTTCGGCGGAAAACAGTTGTACAAAATCATCATTGTGACACCGAAATAGAAAATAGTACAAGTGCAGAAACGGTATTATTGAAAAACGAGTATAAATGTAGGAACACGAGCGCCAGCGAGTGTTCCTATTATACGAGTTTTTCAATGACCGTTTCGGCATGCGTGTTTCATACTATTTTTTCTACGAAAGTGAAAAATTCTTCTCTAGAAATTAGAAATTTCAACTAGCCAAATAACGACAAAAAATCGTATAGTCTGATCGTAGTTAGATGTTTCAATTGTAAATGATCCAGTAAGCCGGTTGCCATGACAAAACATAATTGTTTGAAAAATCGTAAATTTAAGTCAAACAATTTGTGGCGTAGTGAAGAAGTGTTAAGATAGATTTTGACGAAACTGAAGATGAAGAAGCTAGGTATGTGCACCCCGCCGGACGTTGCGGAAATGGCTAATGCGGTTTCGCATGAATTGCTACCCCAAAAGTCTAAGCAGCGTTTCGGAAAGGAGCGTTTTCATAAGAGAACAAATCGCTAAGTTTTTGAGAGAAGCGCCTGATGAAACATTTGTAATGATGAAGGTTTGTGAATTTCTTATTGTATTTTTAAATCATAAATAAGCATAATTTAATTACAGGTTGCTCTCGTCCTTGGAGTGGATGGAGCTTGCCGTCGCGTCGGAGCGAACGTTGTAAAATGACTGTAACGGATTTCACAGAACAAGATGCAATTTTATTGATACCTAACGATTCCTGACTCCAAGAATCATGTCCCAAGAACGTTTTCTGTAGCAGAAGGCAAAGAAAATTCTACCATTGTGTGTCTTATATAACGAACCTGTGAATAAAGCAATACAATTACAAAGAGTTACTTCGCATATGTTTATTAGCGTGTAGAAAATGCGTGCAGAAAATATTTTTTTCTATTTCGGTGTCACAATGATGATTTTGTACAACTGTTTTCGACCGAAAACAGTTGTACAAAGACAGTGATTATAGTCGTTTTTTTTGGTAACTCATCTGCATCTCTTAAGTTGGCAGTTACTAGTTAGTACAAGTAGGTACAATACTTCCATGTTTGAACTTCAAAATGTCAGTCTTACTACGCTGCCAACCTAAAACTTAACGGCATAAAAAGTGTTCCCAACATAAAACACGTTAGTTCTAATGTTCCCTATAGTTTCTGATAATGATTTTTTTAATTAAATTAAAGCACCGAAATAGAAAAAATAGTATGAAAAACGCGTGTTACAATGCTTTATTGTAATACTCCTATCTTGCGGACACTCGTGGCTACGCTTCGCGTCGCCACTCGTGCCACAAGATAGTCGTATTACAATAGGTCGCATTGTAACACTTGTCTTTCAATATACTATTGCCGCACTAGTGTTTCAAAGACCTGTTTTCACAATCAATTTACCTACAAAAACAATCGTGTTTCTACACTTTCGTAGAAAAAAGTAATTGCTATAAACAAAGGTCATGATTTTTGCTATAAATTTATTTTCGAGTTCCGTTTAGTTTATGCAACACCCCGTACTACTTCAGCAAAGTTGTTCAATATTGATACCAGATGGCGAAGCCGAACGTATTTTGATAAAGGAATTTGTCTACATAAAGATAACATAAAAACAAGGACGCGTGTGAATGTTAGGGAGTGCAAGCGAAAACGAAAACCTTACAGAACTAGTTTGTAATTTGTAACAATCCTGCGCCCGCTGCTGCCAGTATAAATATAAATACAACCGTGATTGTTGTCAATCAGTTGTCATATCCTTTAGTGTTGGTTTGTAGTTAGGTTCGCAGTGCTTACGTATTTAAATTTTTAGTGCCCGGTGCCGCGTTGAATACTAAACAGTGCATTTATGTCATATGTTAAAATCGAAGAATAACCCTAAATTTAATCACAAAAATGGCATCCGTGTGTGCAGCGAATGTCCGCGGTAAATTAAGAAACTTTCTACCCTTAATTAATCACACCACATCAAGAACCTATTTTGCGAATAATATACACGAACTTGGCCAAGTTATTAAAGGGAAAGAGCCAAAGTGGGTTGATCAGAAGGATACTCAAAATATATTTGATGGAATACTAAAATCCGGTATGTTTACTTTTAGTAATTTTTCATGTGCAGGCAGTACAATATTAGGTACCTACTTCTACTTCACGTGCAATTTAAACCGTGATGTATAATAATTATTGTTTGATTAGAGAAGTTAGTTGCTTCACTAAGCAGTGACGTAGAGGATAAGCCATTATGTTTTATACTTATTCCTAGTTTACCTATTTGTTTAACCTCCAATAGGGCGATCGGTGTGTACAGGGTCATCCGAGAATCGATAGCTCGCAACACTCAAATGGAAATTTCATTAACAATTTAGTGTTAATTTGAAGAATGTCGGAAGGTGTAATAAATGACATATTGGTTTTTATTATTGCGGTTGTGACGTTGTGTCACCCTGTATAAAGGACAGAAGGCTCTAGCCCAGGGATGGGGAAATAGCGGCCCGCGGGCCAAATCCGGCCCACGATATGATTTGATCCGCCCGCGGGACGCGGGTAATATCATTCATTTATTTTTGCGCGATCGGTCATTTCTGACTATTTACCATGTGTGTTTCCATGACAGTACGTAGAATTTACCAGTTGCTATGATTACGACGACGCCAAAATTACTTACCGATCTAAAAACAGAACAGCAATAGTATATTAAGTATGGAGAACGGTAAGGGATTTTTACCGTTCGAAGACAATTGTTTGGAGGAGGAGCGAAGCGACGACTCCAATTATTGTCTGAGAACGGTAACCCTTAACGTTCGACGTGCTTATAAAATTTTTTGCGCGATCGAAATTAAAATTATGCAACCAATATAAATATGCACTAAGAAATTAACGAGCAGAATAAATCGAAATGATCGAAGTGGTATGGTGTCAATCTCTAGGTAACCAGTTTATTTGTCAAAATTGAAATTAATAATTTCATAAAAAGGTGCATGTGTCTGATGTAGTTTACTAGCTTTGTACTTCCTTTATGACTTTATGAGCGTCTTGCTATAGGAAACAACAGCACAAATTGTACGTTTAATGTACCTAACAATAATTAAAGATTAAATCTCGGATTAAATGTAATGTAAGACTGTTGATTTTTAAAAAGGCGTCGGTAAGTATTTTTGCTGTTCTGTTTTTAGATCGGTAAGTAATTTTGGCGTCGTCGTAATCATAGCAACTGGTAAATTCTACGTACTGTCATGGAAACACCCATGGTAAATAGTCAGAAATGACCGATCGCGCAAAATAGTTATTTACCTAACAAGTTCGGTAAGTTAATTTTCCCGCATGAGCACTTTGTTTGCAGCACGACCGTATGGAGTGCTGCATTTAGTGCGAATGCGGGAAAATTCTTTCCGAAAGAGTTAGGTACAATATTTTTTGTAACGAATTGCGTAAAAAAAGGTCAAAATTAATAGTTTTGTAAATTAGCTTTTTTCTAATCATGAGTTGGTAACACAATCATATGTTTGGTTGGTAACATAATTTTGTAACTACCCACTTTTAATAATGCACTGGTCACATTTAAAACTTCCACATCTTTGGTTAATACATATTTTGCCTTTGCAATGAGTGCTACTACTGGTCACGGCATTGCATCGTTTGCACTGAATATCTTGAGTTGCGTAAATACAATCGTTACATTTAAAATCCTTGGAAGCTTTGTGTGTGTTAATATGTGCTTTCTTAAACTACATATGCGAATAGTTGCAGAATATCACTGGTCACATTTTAAGACGTTTTAACAATAAATTTTACTTTTTCTTGAGTTCCAATTCTGAAAAATAATTTGATTGCGTTATAAGTTCTTGTTTATATATTTACGTAAAACTTAGTGTACGTCTGTTTCCGATTAATCGCACTAAATACCCTCAACCAACGGTTTAATTGATTTTACAGCAGATGACAGTTAATCATGACATGACGTTCGTTGACTTCAATAAGTACTACCAACCGAAGAACGCGCATAACCCCTTCTCTCCAGCGGAAACTAAAAAACACCGCGATGCGGGAATAGTAGATTACATACCGAGCTGGGAGGTGGTTCATTACCTACCCCGAGGGCTTAAGGTACCTCACCGACGCGCTTCGCGCGGAGGTGAGGTATAGGCGCGAGGCGTTGGTTATGAACCACTGACCAGCGAGGTTTGTATACTATTTTACTCACAATCGATCATTTAAGGTAAAGTATATAATTCAACAAGGTGTTACTTTAACTGTCAATAATAGTGACACCGCCAATGTAACCATTAATGTTTACAACAATAGCAAATAGTTTCGTTCTTCTTCGTAATTTGCTATTGTTGTAAACATTAATGGTTACATTGGCGGTGTCACTATTAGTATAAGTTTCATATAAGGATAATATGAATAGCATTTGCAGGTAAGGAAAGTGACATATGCTAGCCGGGAAAGTGACAGCTAGCCGGGAAAGTTACTTTCCCGGCTAAGGTGAGTAATGAGTCGCTTCGCAACCGCTATGAAGGTTAGGAATTCAGATAATACTAACCGATTGTGAGTAAAGTCGTTTTCCCGTGCATCGAGGATGCTTGGAAACATTATCTTTCCATTCAATGAGTACAAAATTAGTACTTTGTGTACCAAGGCGGGAAAGTGGTTGTTTTCCGGGGCGAAGGAAGACATGGCCAGGCGAGGCGCAGCCGAGGCTGGCCACTTCCTGAGGCCCGGAAAACAACTTTCGTGCCGTGGTGCACACAATATTTTTTCTCCTATACACTTACATTTAAAATTAATCCCTCAACAACGTCCGACCGCAAGCGCTTGAATTTGGATTTGCTTTAACGCGTCAACGTGCACGCGTTTGTTTTGTTTATTTCCACGTTTCCTGCTGACTACGCGAAAAAAATTTTACGAAACGGTGCAATCTAAGTGGGCTCACGAGTATATTTTTTACTCGTAGATTTACCCCTTTCCCTTATAATACAGTTCAACGCAAATTGAAATTTTAGCGCGCTTGCGATTGCACAGTGCGGAGTCACCGAAGGGAGTCACGGTGCAACAGAGTAGATGTGCAAGTGGAGAATACCGATCATGTGCGAACTGAGTTGACATTTCCGGCATTTCACTGGAACGTGATTATTTCCTTAGAAAATAACGGGATTTAAGGGGTTGTAATTAATACCAGGCGCATTTGAAATTATTACTGGTCTTGTGTATTAACAAATGTGTTTTAAATTGAATGTGTGTTTTCAGGGACAAAATCACACCGGTTACATTTTAAATCCTTCGCAGTATCCATGTCTTGTCAAATGTTAGATGCTTTTAAGACTGGATTTATGCTTGGCGACAAAAGCGCAATGGGCACACTTTAAATCCTTGATGATCTTGTATTTAAAAAAACGTGTTTTATAAATAGATTTGTTCATTCCTTACAGTCACACTGGACACATTTTAACTTCGGGGTAGTCTCGTATATTAAAATGCTACTTATTATGGATAAGCGGTGTTCTACTTACAGTGCAAAGTACATCTTGGTGTTAAATGTATTGACACAGATGCTCGTTATTGAAAGTAAATGGGAGATTATGACTTAAGTTTGAAACGTTTGAATTGGTCACGTGACATTGGGAAAGTATTCAAATTCACGAAACATTGATAGGTATGGGTTCGCGGTAATTGAATAAATTCTTGAATTCAGTAAAATAAAGTGAACATAGGGTAAATTTAATTATTAAATCAGTGTTGACGATTTTATGTTTCTTATTTAATTAAAAAGAAATAACTTCTTTGACATTTTTAAAGTCACTAAATATAGAAAGTACCGCAATCCATTGGGCTCGTGTGTTAGAGAGAGAACGCATGATTTTTGCCCAAAAATGGCGGAAGTTACCAGATTCTAGTAACTTTAATGTTAGGGATTGTTCCACCTGTTTGTAGATATATGTATATATTTTTATAAAACATGACAGTACTATGAAGTTAGGTTAAAAAAATCTACAGCTATTCAAATTTTATTTGTCAATTTTTTTAGGTTGGCAGCAAATTTGCCCAAAAATGGCGGATGATTGCGGTACTTTCTATATCTAGCATATATATTATATATGTATATGATATCACAGACAACATATACTACAGACGGTCAATCTTAAGGGGAAAAAGCACGCTAAGTTTTGTGACAAATGTCCCCTTATTTAAAAACCTGCTATCCCTCTATTTTGCTCCATCTATTAGCGCATACAACAATGTGTTGGTTCTTCTACAGATTTCTTTTATTGGAATGGTTTTGCAAATTGTCTAGGGAAAGAAGTATTGATACTTTTTTGTTAGAAAGCTGTCCCACAAGAAATCCCCATAATTTACATCTGAGGCGAAATGCTGATAATCTTTGCAGGTACACATACAAAGCAAATATCACTTCATATTCGCAATTACGTATTACTCGTTGTCTTTGGGTGCATAAGAAACGATATAACTTGCACCACTTTTCGAATTCTCGAAAAAAGTGTAATCTCCGTGTTTGTTGATATACCTACGTACTCCACTTGCCTACTTGTCTCTCCGTTTGTGGAATAAATCATTTAACTTGGATAAAGAAAACCTAAACGTAAGCAAATTTTCGAATGAATATTTGCCTCATATGTAATAAATCCCAATTGAGGTGTGCAATTATCGGTCAATTACAGCGGTAATTGCATTGTAGAAAACGAAAGAGCCCTGCGATAATTGCACATTTCATGGGAATACACTTAACAATTTTATAAGTAGGTAAGGTGAGTTTGTAATGTTTATTCGGGAAATATTACCCCGAATTACACTCGTGCATCAAAATAATCCTGATAATTTTTAGCGCATTTTCCAACGAAGTTGGGTGCGCTATTGCAGCCACTTTCTCTGTCCGTCCGTTTGTCCGAGGCCTTAACTACTCCTACAGTTTTTGAAGATATTTAGTTCGTTCTTTTTGCATTCGGTAGCGTATCGCTCTGGCACCTGAGTCAAAGAAAATCTTAACAATTGAACTGCGCATGCGCAGGCTGCGCAATTTTAACTTTTTTATTTATTAATATATTTTGTTGAAATTTTAATCACAGATAC